AATTTTGTAATGATCACAATGTTGAAATTTATTCCAATGGGTTAAGCCTACCACATCTAAATGCTACTGGGATCTGAAATTCTCCAGCCTTGAGCAGGAACAGCAAGTGAGGTACCACTGCTTTACATATCCACAGAGAATCTTTAGTGCCTCCTAACAAGTGGCACATTTTTAAATGGTACTGAAAAGTTAGATAGTATTGATGTTTTAATAAGCTGAGAGCAATTACATGAAGCAAAATACATATAATTCTGCTATATAACGTGCTGCCGATGAACATTTCAGGTAAATCCTACAGGACTTAATATACTTAGTAAGCACAATGAACATGGCAAAAAAAAACCCAAGTGTCTGATAATCCAGGAACCTGACTTTTGATGAAGGTACCCAGGAATTTGATTTCCCCCCCACCAAAGACTTAATGGTTTGTCCTAAATATGTGAAATGATTTTTCAGACCCAGCAATAAGGAACACACACACACACAGGTTTAAAGCACAATTACGGGATTGGGGTGATCCATGTTATAGAATTCCAATAAGCAATCCATTCACTAAATAGGCTTTTGTGTATAGATTACCTTGCTGGATCTGATTCTGTATATGCACAAAGTAATACAAGAGGGAACAAAAATTGTATCCAGCTCATGGGTGTATGTATGCCTCCTGTTCTTGTATCATACACACACTCAAAATAGATGGAGGCCATTGTCACCTGCTTTCAGGGTACAGGTGAGGCATCCCATTCTCCTGAATAGCATTTGATTATATATTGAAAGGGGATGATTCTTGAGCACTTGTATGCATCCTCTTACAAGGACCCAAGGATCAAGGCCCATGTTTTAATGCAGCACATAGGCCTGTAATAAATGGGTGTACCTATTGCATTAAGCAATCCAAATATATCTGTAATTTTATACTTTTTCCAAGGGAAAATAAGCACAATATACAGCCTCCCCTCCAACATAGTAGAGAGTAAAAGTTCTATACAAAAGGAATCAATTTACCTCTATTGTTGTATGCATCACTCTTACATACACATCTTACTAAAAATTATTCCATCACCTTACAATCACAGAAACCAGTAACGAACACTGATCCCACAGTGTTAATAATATAAGTACAAGGACAGATACTACTAACTCTTTATACTGCTCCTTTACAATATATTTCTAGATGGAGAATCACTAGCAGAAATGTAGTTCTAAATAAGGAGACAGCAAAAAAGGCATTCTTTTTGTCTGTACTGAGAATCTATAGACACCAGATTGGCATTTATCAGAAAGTTCCCAGATACTGGTCCTGGTCCTGTACTCTTTTACTCGGGCCATACTCGGACAAATTGGGATGCAGCTGGCAAAAACAGTTGCAGATCTATAACTAGAGAAACAATCCTCATAGCAAGAACCATGCATTCTTTTAAAATCAGTGCTGAACTGATCTTTCTAATAATTGTTCAATATTTAGCAGAGCTACATATTCCATCAGAATACTGAAAAGGTTAAACATATATTATTTTATATTATTTATCCATATATTCTAACATGCATTATACTCCTAGAATGTGAATCAAAATGTAAACTAAAAACTTAACCATGTGGCTCCCAATGGTCACACTATACAACCACAAAAGTGGTAAATAAAATAATGGCTGATGACTCCCACCTAATTGCACTATCACAGATCTTATTTGCAACCATATTAATGCCGCAAAGATGAAGAATGTTCTGTTGGTCTGGGTTTTATTTATGTTTCTTCCATGTTTATGCAACAGGAAATCCATTTACAATATAAAAAGAAATAACCAAATTTTATTTACATGTAAATTTGCTTTATAAAGCAAATGAGATAAAATATTCTGCTGATGGTGGAATTCATCTTCCTCCATATTAAAAAGTAGGCACCAATAGGCAATAATGCCATCAAGCTTCCAGCTAGTCTACTGCAGTCTATCTTTTCCCTTTTATATTTTAGGGAAGGTGAAAGTGGTTATAATTAGAATCACCAATTATGTTGTGCGCATCTGTACAAATACAGCTATACATTAATATGCACACATACACACATGCATTTATAAATAACTACAACACATTCATATTTGGCTAAGTGTCAGACCCAAGATACTCGCATGTCATGGTAAATATTCTGTCCTACATATTTTAAATGTTCAGTTCTTTTACAAACAGGGACATGGGAGCTAAAATATATGACTGCGATATTAAATATGTTTCTCTGTAAGGAAATAACTAGTTACAAAACAGAAATTGTTTTCTGCTCCAATATTATTCTGGTTGTTTTCCAAGAAATAGCTCTTCAAGTGTATCAATCAGTTGATCAAATGCTAAATTGTAATAAAAAGGAACAAAAAGACCAACTGATGAACAATATTCGTTACAAATACTATATGAAGTATCTAAGAATAGATTATTGGTAAATACATTTTATAAATGACATGTTATGTATCATGGCACCTAAGAAAAATTCGCTACTACGCCCAGGATAAGAACCACTAAATTAAAAAAAAGCTGCTTCTAAGGGTCATGATGAGACCATAATGAGTTTGTTCTTATTCCAATAAAAATTAAATACTTGTAACAATTTGTATCATGAACAAATAGCATAGTAGCCTATATACACAATCCTGCTTACTATGTCTTTTCTCCCTATTCGAGCTATACATGTGAAACAGTCCATTGTTTAAAACAAAGGAAATAAAGCAAATATTTCAAAATTAATTATGAGAGATCATACATACACATCTTCATTATCTAATGGTTTCTACTACCCCTTTTATGTCAAAAAAGTTTAAAAAGAGAGAAAAGATTACACTGAATTCTTACTTCCCCTTAAAGAAAAGAAAAAAGCAAGAGAAACTAAAACATTAGAGCAGTGGTCTGTAAACAATAGAAAATAATTTTTTCAGTCTATCCAAGGTCCAAATTATTTGTTCCATTAGCCCATCGTTCACTACAGCAGGCACTATCTACTCTAGGACACAAGCTTTTTAAAACATCTTTTATTTCAAAATCAAGCTTTTTGGAGTCTCCAAGGAGTGTAGATGGGAATTTATTTTCATTAGCCCTGTTCCTGAAAGACATTTAAGATTTAGCAGTTCATAATAACATCATCTTGGTAAAGAAGAAAAGGTCCCCAATAAACACTTAAATGCATTATTACCCCTTTTTAACATAATTCACTTCACTATGAATCAAAGCATAAGCTTGTATTTTATATTTTATAACAACAGAACTAAACGAAGCATGATGTCTGCTGTTTCTGATCTCTAAAATACAAATGCAGAACAGATTTTTTTTAAAATATATGGCTTTCTGGATTTATAAAAATAATGCAAAACAAAGAGCCCTTCAATCACATTAAATACATATTATTCCTTTATGTAAGGTACAATATACCTAAAGATGTGGGAAACACATGCAAAATAGGTAACAAATACACAAATAAGGCTAATAATACTAAACACATCTGGTACTAAAATAAGTAATGTATAATCTACTCAGGATATGAAAGTAGGATTCCATCGTACAGAGTTTATAACTCTGGCATATACTTTTCACAATTATGCTACAATTATGTTCATAAAAAGATTAAATGGTTTAAACATATATTGCTTAATGTTAAAAACATTTAGCCAAGCCATCAAAATAAAGAAAAACTTCTACATTGGTTGAGAAGAAAGCTACAAAGTTAAAAGCCAAAGATACAATGATCACTTAATTTTTTAAAAGATTGACATTTTAATGTAGTGGTCATTGTTCTGCTGAAGCCCTCTTAACTTCAGCTATCTGAATACGATTGCCAATTATTTCAGCTTCTTCTAAGAATGTGTAACCTTGCATCTGTGAGCAAAACTGCTCAGTTATTATTTGTGGCAAGAATTTTTGTGACTGTACTGCTCAGCAATTCTATTTACATCAGCAATGCTAAATGCCCAATGGTGAGAGAGGAGCCAATCAGATGGCAGATTAGATGTCAACTCAGAGGCAGCTGTCTGGAGACTATTACAGCCAGTTTACCTCCACAATTCAAATTCCAAACCTTGCAAAGGAGATCAAGTCACTTTTTAGGCTCAAACTGCAGAGCAAGAAAAATCAAGAATGCTGAGTTATTTCCTATGGCTTTGAAGGTGACAAAAAGACAGTTTACGTAAACTGGATTCAATTATGACCCAATATCTTCTGATCTATCAATTTCACTGGATACAACTAATTGGAAACTATGTATTGTTGCCAGAAACACTGACTGTTGAGCTCTTGCAATACTTAGGACTTTTTCATTGGGGGGGGGGAGAGATGAGCTCCCATCTGATGATGCATGAAGTTTCATTAAAGAAAGAAAAATCCATTGATTTGCAGTTATAATTTTACACATGCTTTTAATAACTGTTTTTAGACTTGCTGAGACAACTGGAAAAGCAAACCTAAAGAAACAGCCCTCGGAACAACTACAGTGTAAACCTTTTACGATTATGCCACAAACCTACAGACACTTGTACTGTTTTTGCTGGGTTTCAGTATACAATTTTAACGAAGCAACACAATTTGCCAACAACCTAAGAGGCCTATTTCTTTACTACAAAAAATAAATCAGGTCAGGAAAGGAAAGATAGTGGTATTTCGCAGGCTCCACTGGTTATGACACTGGTTACTCCCTTTCCTACTCTCCAAAGTGGTTTTCCTCAGGGCCTTGTGTGTTCAGATTTCTAATAAGTCTAGGGTAGGAGCACTGGGTGGGGTGCAGTGGGAGTCGTGTATTGTTCAACTGTGTAACTAAATGGTCTTATTTTCAGCTGGAAAGCTCTATGATGTCTTTCTAACCTAATCAGAGTCAGACACTGTGCATTATCCAGCCCTGTTAAAGAAGCAGGAAGGAGTTGAGATGGAGTAGGAGAAAAGTAAAGGAGAAAGTAAGGCAGGCTGCAGAGGACACAGACAAACATATGCAAAACAACACACTGTTTGCTCTTTGGGGTTCTTATTGTTACCTGGCTCCTGCTGATGGTCTGTCCAGTGTTCCCAGGGCTCATAACTGGATGATTTCTTTGTTGTGCAGCTGCTGCTACCCAGGCTGGGTTTGCAGCTCCATACTGGGAACCCATGTCCTTGCCCATGCCCATGCCCACTGCTGCCTGCTGGCTTCCTGGAGCGGCTGCCGCAGCTACTCCCTGAGCCTGCTGTTGTGATGGGGCAGCCCCAGGGTTGGTATAATCAGGATAGCCGGTGCCATAGCTCCTCATCATGGGGCTGGGGGACGTGAGCAGCTGGTTCAAGGTTGGGGTGGCCCCAGACGGGTGCTGGCTTTGCCCGGAGAACCTCTGGAAGCCCGCAGCCCCAGACGCCTTGCCCAGGCTGGCCCCTCCGCCGGGGCCCAGCATCATGCCCTGCTGGTGGTGGTGCTGCTGCCTGGGGGAGCTCAGAACCCCGAAGGCAGAAGACGAGCCCCCACATAGCCGCCGCCACCTCCACCTCCTCCCGCTGCTGCAGCAGCAGCCGCAGCCGCCACGACTCCCGCTCCTCCTCCCGCGCTGCTGCCGCTGCCAGGCCGGCCGTAAGCGCTCGGATAGTGGTTGTACTGACTGTTGGCGTAGCCTTCGTGCGAGTTTGGCAGGGGGTCCATGCTGTTGGGGGCCGCCGCGGGGTGCATTAGCCCCATCCCGGGGCTTTGTTGTCCGCCATGTTGATCAAAGCAAGGCCCGGCCCGGCTCGCTGAGGAGGCGCCTCCGCCGCTGCTGCCAGCGTTGCCGTAATAGCTATTAAACTCCGAGACACCCACCGCTGAGGGGCCGCCGCCGCCGCCTCCTCCTCCACCGCCAGTGCCTCCGCCGCTGCCCGCTCCCTGAGGTGGCGGCGGAGGCGGCTGCTGCTGCTGCCCGCCCAAAGGTCCCAAGCTGGAGTGGTCGTAGCGGCTGCTAAGGTGCTGCTCGCCCATTTTGTCCGCCGCCTGTGGCGGCGGCGTCGCCTCTTCCCCGTCCCCGCCTTTATTCAGCAGGGGCTGCGGCTGGCTCTGGGGCTCGGCCTGTCCCCCCAAACTACCGTCTTTTCCTCCATGTTGCTGCTCCATGTCTGCGCTGCTGGGCTGAGCAGCGCCGCCACCGCCGTTGTTGTTGCTGCTGCCGCCGCCGTTGTTGTTATTCTGCATCGGATGGTGCTGAGGCGGCGGCTGTTGCTGGAATTGATTTAGCTGCTGCTGTTGTTGTTGAAGTGCATGGTGGTGGTGGTGGTGATGGTGGTGAGCATGGGGGAGCTGGGCATGGAGGTGAGCTGGGTGCTGGTGATGGTGCTGGGCATGGGGGTGGTGAGGAGGTGCGGCGGCAGGGTGATCGCCTCCAACGCTTTTCAACTTGTGGTTGGGGAGCAGCCCTGTCTCCATAGTCGTGGTAGAAGAAGAGGAGGAAGAAGACAAGCCCGAGGAGCTTCCAGCTTCTTTCAGAACCGATTCCGAGGAAGAGCCGCCGCCGCTGCTAGCGTTGCTGTTATTATTACCGGTGGCGGCAGAAGTTGCATTATTGGCCATGTTCAGTTCATTATGGTGGTGGAGGAGATGGTGATCTACATTATTCAAGCCGCTGCTGTTAGTCCCATCTCCAACCCCCGGTCCAGCAGCTCCGACGGTCCCAGCCACAGGACCCCCAGAGTTGAGATCCTGGCTTAAGTTCCCCGGCAAACTCGGGGTTTTACCCTTGTTCTTGTTCGCACCCGCCGGAGCCGCTGCTACTTGCGCGGCCATGATCATTGCAACATTGCGGGGGGGGGGGAGTCAATTAACCTCCCCCAGTCTAGAAAGGGGGCAAAACAAACCGAGGGGAAGCGAGAGAGGAGCAAAAGGCGACCCTCCCACCGAAAAAAAATAGCCCCACGGTGCGGAAATACTAGATGGAGTTGAATAAACAAAAAGCTCTGCTGATCATTCCACACGCACACACGCGAGAGAAAAAAAGAGACCAAAACTCCCCTCCCCAAGTCCTTGATGGAGATTAGAAATTGTAAGAATGCCTTACGGTCTTTGCCTGTTCCTGCTGTGTGATTTCATGTTGAAAGTTTTTTTTGTTCAGGTTTAAATAAAACTTTTTTCTTTTCCTCTCTAACCCGGATATGGGTAAATACACGTCTGGTTGAGCCTATCTGGCCCAGCATGGCATGAGAGAGAGAGAGAAGGAGAGGGAGAGAGAGCTCTAACAACTATTATCCACTTCTCTCTGATTACTCCAGCGCACGTGGAAAACGCGGACTGGATTCTCCTTCCGCCTTCTGCAGCAGCTTTAGCAGCCAGGGTACATGAAGGGAAGGGAAGATGCACGCTTCAATTTCCGACACAGGGCAGTTGGCACCGCTCTGAAAAAAGGAGGGTGAGATACTGCCTCCTTCTGTTTTCTATATTCCTTTTAAAGATTCTGAGGTGTTAGTAAGGGCGTCTGTCTGGGGGGGGGGTTTCCAATAAATAAAATTAGTTCCGATTAAATGCAGTGGACTTTTTTTAAAAAAAAAAAGATGACCAGAATATTCCACAAATTCAGTCTCCCTACATGTTTGTATATGATCAAACTGATAAAACACACTATTGTCCACAGTTAACTAAGTACCTGCAAAATAGATTAACTATGTGATGTAAAGATGCATTCTGGCCCCTTCTCACTCTGGTTGCCCACAACACATTTGAGCCCTAGATAGGGTTGAATATATTCAGACATATCAAAATATGTATCCAATCACATGTGAAATTCCTGCCTGGGCTCAGGGAGATTTTATATAAATTAATAAGCCTGCAAATATCTGTGCTTTTGAACTCCATGGAGCAGAAAATTGCAGAATGAGTTGATTTGTCTATTTGTTGCTAGTAAATTTAAGTGTGGATATGTAATACACACTGCCCCCTGCCTTTGGGGCTCATATTACTGTTGTAAACCATCTGTTAACATTATATAAGAAATCAGTTTAACAGCACCAATCTTAACCACGTTTATTTAGAAATATAATAATTGGTATGGTGTTGTTTGTTTCAAACTATGTTCAGGATTGTAGCCTAAATCTTACTCTGGAGTAAATTCAATTTAATCCAGTGTGATTTACTTCAAATTAATTAAGTATACATATACAATTTTAGGGCTGGCAATGAAGAAATTGATATTTTTTTAAAAAAAATCTATTCCTTGGCTCAGTCACCAACAAAAACTGAGACTGCAACCAAAAAGTCAGAAGGAAACTGAGTCTGAGAAGAGCAGCCATGAACAAGCTAGAAAAGATCCTTAGGTGTAAGGATGTGTTGCTGGCCACCAAGATCAAGAAAATTCATACTATCGTATTCCCTATTACTATGTATGAGTGTGAAAGTTGGAATGTAAAGAAAGCTGGAAGAAAGTTTATTCATTTGAAATGTGGTGTTGGAGGACAGTTTCAGGGATTTCATGGACTGCCAAAAAGACAAGTGGGTTCTAGATCAAATCAAGTCTAAACTCTTTCTAGAACCTAAAATGACTAGACTGAAGCTATCATACTTTGGTCACATTATGAGAAGACAAGAGTCACTGGGAAAGACAATAATGCTAGGAAAAGTTGAAGGCAGCAGGAAAAGAGGAAGACTCAACATGAAACAGATTGACTCAATCAAGAAAGCCATGGCCCTCAGATTGAGCAAGGCTATTAACGGTAGGAATAGTCGAAGGCAGCAGGAAAAGAGGAAGGCCCAAAGTGAGATGGACTGACTCAATCAAGGAAGCCACAGCCCTCCGTTTGCAAGAATTGATAGGACATTTTGGAGGTAATTCATTCACAGGATCACCATGAGTCAGAATCAGCTTGATGGCACTTAATGCACACATGCACATAAGAATTGGAAACAATTTCTTTTAATTGCCCTTTCAATTTAGCGCATTTTAGTGCAGCCCACCTCATATGACTGCTGTGCTTCAGTGTGTCCTCCCAGTCTGCCACAAAGAGGAGACTGTAAAACAGCCATTTTTGGTGAGTTGTACTTTTTATAAAACAAAACTATTATCTCATGTTTTCAAAATATCATCTGTGCTGACATACCTAGAATGGATTTTAGTTGGTTAATCCCTCAAACAAAGGTGCTTAAATCAGGTAGCTGATCAACTAAAAACATTAATGGGCCCCGGTCACACGGGCAGGATATCGCGGGGGGAGGTGTGGCTAATTGCCCCTGCGCAGTTTGATCCACGATTACCGGTGCACTCCACTTCCCAGATGTTGGGGTGTGATCGCACCCGGATAATCCCCCCACCATCCGTGCCTCTCCCACGGCAACTTTGCCGTGTGACCGGGGCCATTGATTGGCATCTCTTGAAAATATGTTAATCTGGATTGTTCAACCTTTCAGGTACAAAAGAATGCTAAATTAGCTATTTAAACCATTGCCATTGTCTAATTATTCATATTATGTGAGGATTTATTCTCAAGACTATTTCTGCAGTTTGCTATTTTACCTATGCAAGCACTTGGATATCAAGTATGTATTTTTAAGAAGAATATGTAGATTGTAAATTAGACAACTAAGGAGGTGGAGAAAAATGCACAATGTTCATAATAAATTTCATGGGGCAGATTGGATAGCAATGTTAGCATGGCCAGCAATCTGATTAAAAATATAATTTCTTTTTTAAAAAAAACACATGATTTTTCAATCAAGAATGAATTGATAGCACACTATATCCTCTTTTCCCAATCCTATAACTTTCAGAAGGAATAATTTGTGGCCAATAACCTGTGGAAGCAACATTTCTGCAGTTGCTACAGTGTCTAGCAGTCTCAAAATCCTAATAATCAGTTGCATTAATGATGCTTTTAATACAATTATTACATATCAGGCTGTTTTCAACATATTCTATGAATCTGAATGCAGATCAAGGGTTTTTCTGAAAAGACTGAAACATTTTCAGCACTATTTTGTCCCTAAACAATCATATATTTTGTATGTACAGCCCAATAGATTTTATTACTTCTAATGTTAAATTATTGCTCATAGAAATTACTTGTGTTTATATTGCAGGAAGCTGCCACTACTGGCATTAAAAATTAAGATCCATTGCAATCAATACAGTAATCTGACTCTAGGGGGCAGTGCTCATCTCCGTTTTCAAGCCGACGAGTCAGCGCTGTCCAATGACATTTCCATGGTCATGTGGCTGGCATGACTAAACACCAAGGCGTACGGAACGCTGTTACCTTCCCACCAAAGTGGTACCTGTTTATCTACTTGCAATTTCTTGCTTTCGAACTGCTAGGTTGGCAAGAGCTGGGACCAGAGACAGGAGCTCACTCCGTCATGCAGCAGTAGGGTCTCAACCTGCCAACCTACAGACCTTCCAGTCTGCAGCTCAGCATCTTAAACTCTGAGCCACCGTGGCCCCTTGCAATTAATATACAGAGGTACTAATACAACACCATATTCTAATCTCCCAATGAGAGGTATGCTATTAAAAGTGAGCAACAGATCACCCAGTTTGAAGTCTCGTTTCTTTAAATCCAAGAGTTAGGTACATACTGAATTTTCTACCACTGAAATCTATGAGCTGATTTAAAACCTTTGGCTTTATTGTACCCATAAGGTCAATTATACTTGGATATATTTGACCAAAGAATTAGCAATAAAGTCTAAAGACTATATTCTGGATTGTACCCAGAATCTCAACATCATGTGAATTACCATAGCAGGGTCCACCCAAGACAAATAGGGGGCCAGTTGGCAGGCCCAGCATAGGTTTGTCCTTAGAAAGCAAAAAATCAAGCCACAACCGCAGGCTCCTGACAAAGTCAACCATAGAAAGTTGAACCCTATCAATTGTCGGTAAAAGTGGCCACCCCAGTGGTACGGGCTTCCCCAGCCACATGATCTCTCTCCTGGGTGGATTTAGTTTCAACCAACTCTCACCTAGCCATTCCACCACGGCATCCAGGCAGGAGGCCAAGACCAGAATTCTGGCCATCAGTCACTCTTCATTTAAGAGGAAGAGCTGGGTGTCATCTGCATATTAATGGCACCATACTCCAAACCAAAGTTCCCTCTAAGCTCCACAGTGTTGTGAGCAAAAATTCTACTTCGTGAGTGAAAAAAGCTGGTAGCATTAAAGTTGTGAGCAAGTCTACATTTGAATATTGCATAAATTAGTTTTTTAGATTATTTCC